TCTCCCCTATCTCGGAAATACCCGCAGATGCCGACGCATTACCATTCGACACGACAAAATTCACTGCACAAAACATGCCCTACACGATGGCCGTCTTCTATGAAGTCTTGCGCCTCTTCCCGCCTATTCCATTTGAGATCCGGCAGTGCACCGGACAATCTGTGACCCTACCCGACGGGACATTTTTGCCCTCAGGGTCCGTTCTAGTCTGGTGTCTCTGGGCGATGCACCGGTCCAAACTTACCTGGGGCGAGGACGCGGATGAATTCCGACCTGAGAGGTTTCTCTCTTATCCCGAGTCCGGAGACGATAAAGGGACTGTGAAGGTTATAAATAGACCGCCTAGCGAGTTCCCCGTCTTTTACGGCGGGCCTAGGACTTGTTTGGGCAAGAAAATGGCAGAGGCGATAGCTGTGCAGGTTATACCCACAATGGCGTGGCTATTTGAGTTTCATCCAGCTTGGGGGACCGATGGGAAGGGCAAGGAGGACAGGAAGAGCAAGAGCTCGTTGACTCTGCCTATGGAGGGTGGACTGCCTGTTACTGCTGAGATGAGGAAAGCCTAACTTGGGGCAAAAAGGCTGAAAAGGGCAGAACAGGAGAGCAATGCTGGGCGGGCGCGTTAGATAGAATTGGTGACGGTAGATAGACAGCACGGCGTTTGGGTGATCTTTTGTGCTCGTAATAATAATACCAACATGAATGCAAACATGACTACCTAGTGAGATGATTGTTTGTTTACTTTGCCGCTCATAAAAGGGGCTTGACAGTTGAAATAGGGTTTATGTTTCCTGAAAGGGAAGTTCACTAAATGCTTACAACATGTTCAATATGCTGTGATGGGAAGTGTAAGAGGCTGAGAAGAGCAGACTTGGCGATGCTGTCGGTAAAAATAAAGCAGACTAGGGACGGATACGATACCCGAGACCGTTGAAACTTGATATCATAGCATGATGTTGAGGAGCACTGTTCGAGTCTAAATAGGCCTGACCCTCGATAGCTTGCCGGTGAGTATTTATTTTTAGAGTAACGGCGGTCAAGCCAGCAAGTTTAAATAGATATCCAGATCGTCACGCTGCAACGGTTGGACTACCTACCTGATGCCCGTTGAGGGGAATTAAATTTTGGTTATGCTTCCTATCGTCAACCCTCCTTCAGGAGAAAGAAAACCAACAGCACTAGCGTATAGAAAGCTTCGTATGTACTGTACGGATATTGATCTTGCATGTTCTTGGAAGATTGCGACCAAGCCAGAAGATCGTGGGGTCATCATGGTGCCATCTTCGATCTCGCGGCCCATGTTCGCTACCATGCAGATCGAGAACTTGACGGTTGCGGATCCAGCGGATCCAAGCAGCATCTGTTCAAGCAGGACGTGCAGCACTCGCTGTAACAGCTGTATTCTCCGCTACCTATTTGTTGGTCTTTTCTTCTCTCGGGAACGTTTATTTTTCACACGTGTAAAATACCTACACTAGAAAAATACCGGAGAACGGGGTATATGGCGGTTTAGGAGAAGGAGAGGTCCTTGGTGATGTGGTGATCCGATGGTTCGGCAGGGGCATTGTCGCGGGACTTGGCAGCAGTGCAGCACTGCAAAGAATGTCTTGGCATTGACCCCCCTGTAAGTCCCCGTGGAAAGTACATAGCTTCGATGCCACCCAGCTCATCCAGTCCTTTTTCCTCGTCATGATCATTTCTGAACTGGCTCATTCACGACATTTCACCTACTTTGGATACGTTTAGGCCATCCAACCAACTGCTTGATTATCACACAGTATTACTTATATAATTACACCTTGTATTACCATTCCCCTAACTTCCTTTGTTGTCCTGTTCCTCGACCTCTCATTCTCGCTTCCTTTTGCTCTCCTTCCTAGAGGAAATTCATCCATCTTTGCTCATCGACCAACCTCTCTTCCCTGGATAACATCACTGTAATACTATCAGAACAAACCGCCCAACATGACAGTAATATCCACCCTCCTACACCTGACCAACTACAAGTCGCCGCTGCTACAGACGCTCGTCCCCAGCGTAGCAGCATCCTTCACAATCCAAGCAGCCTTCGCGGTGCCGTCCATAATCGCCCAGTCCGAGAAATTCTACGACTTTTCCGGCTCCCTGACTTACCTAACCGTCACGGCCCTGAGTTTATATCTCCCCTCTTTGCGAGCTAAACTCGCTGCTACCGGGGGGATCGGTTCCCTCTCGAGCTTTCTAACTTCCCCATTCGCTGCTGGGGGACTGGTGAGCTGGAGGTCGATTGTCCTCAGCGGGGCGGTTACTATCTGGGCTGTTCGCTGTACGTCCTTCCTCCTCTTTCTCCCATCCGCAAACATGATTGCTGACCATCCCCCCCACCCCCCCCCCCCCCCAAAAGTGGGATCCTTTTTATTCCAAAGAATCCTCCAAGACGGCAAAGACAGCCGGTTCGAGGAGATCAAGAAATCCCCGGCTCACTTTGCCGGCGCGTGGACAGCCCAGGCCACCTGGGTCTCCGTGTGCTTGCTTCCTGTGATCGCGGTGAACTCGATCCCCGCATCGGCCGTGGCTGCGACCGGCGCCGTCAAGTTGACTGACATTCTGGGCCTGGGGCTTTATGCAGGCGGCTTGTTGTTCGAGGTCATTGCTGATCGGCAAAAGAGTCAATGGGCCAAGGAGCGAAAGGAGAAGGTGCATGATGAGGAGTTTTTGACTAGGGGGTTGTGGAGTGTTAGGTTTGTTCTTCTTTTCTATCAACTTGCTTCTTTTTCGTGAGATTTGCTAACATGATATAGCCGCCACCCGAATTACTTTGGCGAGTCGACGCTGTGGACGGGCATCGCAACCACAGCACTCGGCGTGCTAATGAGCTCGCCCGTCAAGGCAGCAATGGGTCTTAGCACACCCGCGGCGGCGGCGTTGTGTTTTGCCAGCCCGGCGTTTGTCACCTTCTTGCTGACCAAGGTCAGCGGTGTGCCGCTTAGCGAGAAGAAATACGACAAGAAGTTTGGCGACCGAAAGGAGTACCAGGAGTGGAAGAAGAATACGCCCATGTATTTTCCCAAGCTGTTTTAGTTCTGGAGGGAGGACGGATGATGCCCGGCAAATGGATGTATGGCTGGTTTCATTGCTTTTTTGGTCGGCTTTTGGGTCCTCCATTTATTCTGGATATCTTGATCAGCTCCGCTTGGATTATATTGGCTGGTGCATGTTTCTGGATCTTCGATCGGCATCAGGTACTACTACAGGTACTACATGATGTACGCAACAGATAGTGGATTGGCTTTTTGGATCTCAGGGGTAATGTAAACAATCTTTCTACGCATGTGGCGTCGCTGGAGAGATATGACGGTCAGCTCCACCTGGGCATATATTTTCGCCAGGACCAGTAATGTTACCGTTCATTATGCCGACAATACAACACGTCGTCGTTCATCCATTCATCCCAGTCCCCATTCATTGTGACCAGTTAGCATTCATGTGAAAACATCACCAGACTGAGCACAATCTGACAATCTCAAAAAAGAAAAAAAAGAAAACCGATCCCACCATTTATCCAAATACAACATAGTTGCTATAACTTGAGAACCCAACAAAGACACTAAAATGCATATATATAAAAGAACCCTCTGGGTATCAAAAACAGAAGAGAGAGAGAAAAATTCACATCCCACTCCCAACACCCTTCTAATCCCATCACCCCCTCTCTCCAAACCTATTTCTTACTCATCATCAACCTCAAAAACTCATCCTCATCAACGCCCCCCTTCCCACTAGCATCAAATTCCTCAATCATGGCAATAATATCCGCATCCGGTATGTTGTTCCCCACCTGGTTGCACACCCTCCTCAAGTCCTCTTGCGTGATCATTCCCTTGCCGTCGATATCAAACAACCGAAACGCCCTTCGCAATTCTTCTTTTGGGTCCCGCTGGCGTATCAATGACCCTGCGATACCCTGCGCCGTGTGGAGATTAAACATGCGATAGATTGGCGGACATTCCTGGTCCAACGGCCAGTTGGATGGTTTCTGGCCGTGGCGGATTAGGAGGTCGTAGGTTTGCGGTTTGGGGAGCTCGAAGCCTAGGGCTCGGAGGACGAAGCGGAATTCTTCGTAGGAGAGGAGGCCGTCTTTGTTTGAGTCGAAGAGGTCGAACTGAAACCAAATTGTTTAGTAGGCTGGGGCAAAGTCTTTTTTTTTTTTTTTTGGGGGGGGGGGGGGGGTAAGAGAAACGTACGGCTTCGCTGACGCGCGTTTTTTGCTCGTCTGTTAGTTTGTTGAAATCTTCTCTGTTTGGTTGCGTGTATTGTATGTTGCGCCCCGAGGAAGCCATCATGGGTTTTTTTTGTTTGCTTGGTCGCGGTGGGTATGCGGGAGAGAGGAGGTTTGCTGCAGCAGGAACAATGGGCAAGTTCGTCGTCGAGGGGATCCAGAAATTGAGTAAATCTGTTGAGAGCTGCGAGGTCAATTGATCGAGTCGTTCTCGTTCGCGGGTGTGAATCTTGGTCGCAAAAAAGTGAATGTCTTATTATTGTTATTGGGTCATGGTCGTGGAATTGAAGGCTGCTGCAGTCGAATCAAATGGCTGGTTGTTTCGGTTCCTCAGACAGAGACAGAGCTTCCGGATGCGTTCGAGGTCGAAGGACGCGTCTGCCCCATTTCTCCAAAATCCACTTTACGCGTCTCAGACAACGGTGCTAGGCGTTTGAGGGGTGGTTGGGGAACGGTGGGGTACTTACATTACGCCGTAAGCCAAGGATATGTCAAGAACAGGAACCAAGCTTCTCGTCAAACAAACTGGAGGGGTTTCCGTTTCATTCGTCGGGGTTGGTGTTAAGCTTGTTTTGATGTTTCGAGTGCTGTTGTTTGTTGAGCAGTGCATTGTTAGTGTAAATTGCTCTAAGATGCCGCTGGTGCCTCTCGGGTTTAGACTTCCTGGTGGGGTCCGTCAGCCCCCTTCCTGCAGCAGGCTTATAAAGCTCAAAAAGTTGAAAGCGAACACAACCGTCCAATTGGTCCGGTGGTGTAGAGGTTATCACATCGTTCTTATACCTGAGCTTTAAACACTCAAGATATGCGAGGGTCCCGGGTTCAAACCCCGGTCGGACCAGACTTTTTGCTCTTACTTTTTGCTCGATATTGTTACAGCTGGAACCTAACCAAGGTACATTTTGGTCCATCTGCTTCTTGATTTTTATTAAACACCATTTCCACATGTAAAGCTGCTCGAGAGACCTCAGGAAGAGGTACCCTGACTGGGCGCCGTCAGCTTACAAAGGTAGCAGCACAGACCAGCAGTCTAATTCAATTGGAAAGGAGCCCCACCGCCCAGAGCTTTTATCGCTATCGGACCCTCTAAAATTATAGAAAATGCGACGGCGCAAAACACCCACGATCAACACCAAAGCAGGACTCCCCACGATATTGCACATAACTCAACACCACAGTCCTGCTCATACAACAAGACTACCAGTCCCAAAATGCCCAAACGAAAGCGCTCCGAAGAAGAGGAACTAACCAAGATCCTCTCCGCCTCGCACCACGCAATCCACCACGCCCTCAAAATCGCAAAGGGGTACGAGCGCCAGCGGCAGTCCAAACGGCTGCGGGATCCCGACACCGATGCAGAGAAACGCGCACGCCTCCAAAACGAAATCGTTATCCAAAAGTCTCTCGATTTGCACCAGGTTGCGCTTACGCATTTGCGCGCGGCCTTGTTACGGGTCAAGCCGATTGCCGAGTGCGACAAGTTGCCTGAGGAGGTGAAGGCTCCTGTGCAGAAGCCGGATGTGACTGAGGAGGAGGCGAAGGCTTTGCATAATGTTACGAGTAATTTGTGTGCGAGGGTGGAGGTGAGGAAGGCTACTGATAAGGCTATTGAGGATGTTGGGAAGGCGCTTGGGGTGAAGGTGCCGGAGAAGAAAAAGGGACGGGTGAGGAAGAAGGATTTTGAGAAGGAAACAGAAGAGGTTGTTGCGGATAAGGAACCTGAGAAGGATGAGGAGATGGTGACTGAGGAGAGAGAGAAACCTGAAAGGAAGAGCGAGGATAATAAGAGGAAACTGGAACCTGCCTCGAATGGTGCCAACGAGGATTCCGAATCGGATGAGGAAGAATTACCTGTCAAGGAGGAAGTTGTCGCCAAAATGGAAGACATATTGGGATCATCATCGGAGGCAGAGTCAGACGATGATGGCGCAGATTGGGCCGCGATCACAGCCAAAGTCAAGGCCCAACTCAAAGGAGCAACGTTCGCGAAGGACGGCTTAGACCCCATGGAAGTCACATCCGGCGAAGAGGAAGAGGACGACGACATGGAGTATGATCTCGACTCTGAGGGCGGTTCAGAGGACAATGAGGTCTCGGAAAACGAAGCACAGTCCGACAGCGAAAGGGCAAGCGAAAGCGGCTCCTTCAACGGCTTTAGCGACAATGCATCTGAGCAATCAGCCTCGGACGCAGAGTCAGGGTCAGACTCGGAATCATCGGCCGACAGGTCACCGCCGCGCAAAAAGAAAGCCGCACCCTCCACAGGCAGGCCCGGCGAATCAGCCTTCATCCCAAGCCTAATGGCCGGCTACATCTCCGACAGCAACTCGGAAGCGTCAGATCTCGACATCGCCCCTAACTCGAGGAAAAATCGCCGTGGTCAACGAGCTCGTCAGGCCATCTGGGAGAAGAAGTTCAAAGAGCAAGCAAAACATCTGCGTGAGGGTGGGAACAAGGCGAATAAAAGAGATGACGGGTGGGATATGAAGCGTGGAGCGGTTGATCCTGATTCTGCTGGAAAGCCTTGGAAGAGTGGGATAAAGAATCCGCTTTTGGAGAAAGACGGGAAGAAAGAAGAGATTCAGGGGCAAGGAGAGGAGGTTAACTATGGAGGCAGAACTCTTCTTAAAGATAGAAAGAAGGGAGGTATGCATGTCACTGATAGACCGCTTAATAGGAAGGAAAGGAGAGCACTGGGGATTAAGGAGCCTGTTGGTCCGCCTGGGGGAGGTAATGGTGGTGGAAGTAAACCGGCTGCCGGCATGCCGCCCAAGAAGAGGGATGACGAGGGACCTCTTCATCCTAGTTGGGAGGCGAGGAAGAAGGCCAAGGAGAAGCTGGAGACTGCCCCCTTCCAAGGAAAGAAGATTACGTTTGACTAGATGCCTCGATGTTATATCAGTATAATTAGCCGATTGATGGCAGACAAGTAGGAAAGTAGGCTGATATGAGTCAATAATAAGCACATATACTGTTACTTTCACCACAATCACTGGATAATTACTGATATAAGCAAAGAATAATGATAAATCATCGACTCCTCTTTTGCATTTGCCAGATATCTAGCAAGAGACTAATGTCTAAGAGGCAAAATCAGCGGCTTTTGTGAAAGCATCGCCTAAAATAATGAGATTCTGTGGAAGGAGAAATCGGAGCTATTTTGAACCCTAACCCCGGAACCATCAACTGCCCCCTTTTTTTTTGGCGAAATACGCCTCCCAAGTAAACACCATACCCCTATTTCCTCAAAAATCAACGCATATATGCTCCCCAAAATACGCCTCCATATGAAATAAATAATGCCTCCATCCGAAATAACAAACGCATATAAATCCCCCGAAATATGCCCCAATCCGAAATAAATAACCCCCCTCGAAAATAAAATAAATTCATAATAAATCAGGCAAATACGCATCCCTAAAGCCCCCAAAATGCATATAAATCAGATCCTCCACGCCTCTCAATTTCCATTCCCATGCCTACCCTTTCCACCAAAAATGCATATAAATCAAACCCACCACGCCTATCAAATCCCCAAATAATGCCGTGCCCAATTTAAATCTTGGGCCGCTTGGCAACAGGCTCCTCACCACCGTCACTCTCCTCCTCATCCCCCTGGCTACCCCTTTTAGAGCCCGTAGGCGAGGCAGGCTCAGGCAAATGCATTTCCTCGTCCTTGTCCTCGTCGTCGACCTCCATGATTATGGGCAGCGACGCCTGCTCAGCTTGGTTGTCCTCCTCCTCAAGGGTGAGGTCAAAGATTTGGCCAGCCAGGCTGGCCGATATAAATGCCCGGCCGGGCTCCGATTTGACGCTGGGGGAGCGCCGGACTGAGACTATCTCGATCTCGTCGTCTGAGTTGACCTCCTGGATGAGGTCTGATACCACCCTGGCGGGGGAGGACCGGGGGGACTGGCTGACGAATAGGCCGCTTGAGGTCGAGGACCTGAAGCGGGGGCGAGCTCCTGGGGTGGTGGAGCTGCCGGTGCTGTTGCGGGCGGAGCTGGGGAGGTTGTTGAAGCCCCAAGGCTGCCGCAGGGCGGCGGTGAAAGGGATGGGGACTACGCTGTCCTCGCGGACGGCCTGGGGGGTGTTGTTGGCCTCATCTGAGCCTGTGCGCTGCCGGACGAAGAGGCTGTCTTCGGAGTCTGAAGAGTCTTCGATTTCGACGACCTCCGGCTCTGAATCTGAGTCGGAGTCTGAGTCCTCTTCATCCTCCTGTGAAGGGGTCGGGGTGTCGGTCTCCAGGTCGCTGTCCGTGTCATCGCTGTTTTGAGCATCAGCGATGAGCTGTTCCAGGGTTGGAGCAGGGGGCCTGCGGGTGTTTGGCCTGTTGACCAGTCTGAGACCTCCACGACCTCTGCCTCTTCCCCTGCTAGGTCTGGGACCTGGGCGGCGAGGTACCGGACGTCTCTCACCACCCTCCGAGGGGCCTCCTGAGTCGGAGTCTGACCCGTCGTTTGAATCGGAGTCAGAACTATCCGAGGCCGTCGTGCTCAATTGTGAAGGCAGGTCCATGTCCTGGTGGTGTCCCAGACGGCGGAGATGGTCGTATGAGCCACGACCATCATCCTCAATGAAGTAGCAGTGGACGATGCTCCAGTCGTCCTGAGTAGGGACCCACTCATCAACGTCATCGTCATCGTCGCTCTCATCGTCGCTATCGTCGTCATGGGTGATAGGGAAGAGGGAGGGCAGATTCTCCAACTGGGAGGTCCTTTGGCGGCTGGGGACCTTTTCCATTGTGACAAGGTTGGAAACGTCCTCAGCAAAGGACCAGTCCGTGATGTCAACACGCTCGCCCGTGTACGACTCTTCTGTGTCACCTAGCGCCTTGTTCAGATCATAAGGGCGGAACCAATGAAGTCCACGCAGCTGGTAGATACAGTCCATCCCACCAACGGTTCGGAGGGCCCGCGTCATGCGCTGGTTAGGTTGGCCTGCAGTTTTCCCCTCCATAAACTCATTGATATCCTTGGCCTCGTACCTGCGGCGGATATACTGCCTGCCGGTCTCGTTGATGTGCATGACCATGGTCCGCAGGCGGTAACAGCTCTGTAAGGAATAGAGGCCACCGGTGCGCCGTGATATGGGTACACGTTTGGTGTCTTCGCCTTCCTTATTCTTCAGGCGGGGCATGGTCAGATAGTGGTTGCCCATCCATGTCAACTCCAGATGCTGCAGCCGCGCGATTCTTGCTTCGCCAATGCCGTTGCAAAAGCGGTCAAACTCGCCGAGACTCGAGAATGCAAAGGTGTTCAGGCCATAGAAACAATGGACGCCAATAAAAAAGAAGCGCTTGCTGACGAGCAGGATTCGCAGGACGATATTGGGGTCTCTGCGGTCATCAGTGACATTGTAGCATGTCTTGCCCCAGTAGAAGCCCCGTGGCAGACCGCTGCGACCCTCCAAATCCGCTTCGCCAGGCATAGCAGTGAGCTCGACATGTTCGTCGAGTCGTGACAAGGGGTGGACCAGCTGGCCTTCCTTGTGAAGCCAGAGTGGAAAGATTTCGGCTTGAATCTTCCACGGCAGCCGCTCAAATGGGAACGGTACCTCGGGGACTGGAGTTGGCTCCTCGACCTCAAACCCCGGGGCGCCAGTGATATCCGGGGCCTGCAGTCTGATATTAGGATGAACGAAGTGGGACCTTGAGCTCATGTTTTCCTCCTTGCAGCACTGCTTGTAAATTTTCCCCCAGGGCCAACGAGGATGCGGCTGCACCAGATGAGCCCGAACCAACTGCCGCCAGGTCTGTAAGGAGTCAGTCATATGCTCAGTTACCGTCAGCCCCAACAGAGCAAGTTCTTACTCGTTCGGTTTGTGGGCGGCGCCCGTTGT